TTACTAACCCGTTGGCTCCATCCCACATGAGCTAAACTGCGTAAACGCCGATAGCCGAAAACTTCTAGTTGACGGATATCTTCTACTCGCAAATTCAGGGCCTCACAACCATAAAGCAGGACTGAACGAACGCTAGCACAATATACACGACCTTTCAACGTCAGTGAAACGTCGCGTCTACGCCAAAGGTGTTTTTTCACACTGGGCCAGGGCAATTGAAGCGCTTGAACCAGTTGTTTTGGGGCACACAGGTTTGGGCAAAGTAAGCGAATAGTGATCGCCTCGGCCATGGCCAATGTCCAAACTCGGGCCGCCTTCGATCGATTGAGTGGGATTCGACAAATAACATCAAAAGCTTTCTCCGGTTAGATCTTGTGTCTGGTGTCTACGAGATGACCCACGATCGCACTTGAGATACAGCCGGTCTTCTCTTGATTTAACCTTCGCGTTGAGACAAGCGCCTTACCGTAACATGGGCTACAGACGCACTTAAAGGAATAAATTAATATTGATGAGATCAGTTTCGGCAGTTTGTCTTTTAATTAGATTTCTATTGCCTTTAATTAATCCAATGACTGTCATTCTGTAAGCATTTTTCCAATGTATGATGTGTAAGAGCATGACTGGGAGTATCCGGAAACAATTGTCCGCTCACCAACTCGTTTTCTCAATGCCATCAAACGTGTCACAAACTCTTGTGAAATCTAATGGTTTTCGCTATGACACTGTTCTTATGAAACTGCATGAATTACCACCAATTCCTGCCCTCAGATAGTTCCATCCCTCCTGTCTTTTTATCCTTTGACCGGTCTCCGTTGACATAATAATAATACTAATGTTGATAATAAATGTTTGAGAGTTTCCCTTTTGCACTGTCACTTACGTATGCATTACCTTTCTCTTTGTCGATAGCGTCTTGTCAAAGAAAAGGAGGATCATATCAGCCAGCTACTTCAGGAACGGGAAATTGAACGATCGGATCTGGCCCGCGTCACTTTGGATCGTGAAATGGTAAACCTGGCATCACTGACTAGGGTTTCAGTTTGCTATCGGGTCTATTTGTAACTTTTTGTTAGCTCCTAGCGAGGTTGATACAAAGGATAGTGGTTGTTCTCACATGACTGATTCAACCCCTGTTTGCCTAACGAAATTCCAGGCCGAATCGGAAATCCTGAATCAACGTGCACAAATCGAGCGATTGAATCAACAATTGCAGAGCATGGAAGCGGCGCATCAGTTGTTGCAGGAGGAATACGAACAAATGACTTTACGTTTGCACGAAGAAAAGAAGTGAGTAGTTTGGTTTATAGAGTTGTTTTTCTTGTTCCCTCCCGCATATCGTACACTGCCTATACCAAAAGTAACGGTGGCGTCTGTTCCACATTGGCAGATCAAAGGCCAGCAATATTCGACCCTCTGGATTCCTGAAACCCCATATCCGTGAGTGGTGGTTGTGTTTAAAGTGTGACCGGTACAACGCAGTTAGCATTCTAGTGCGTCCACCTATTGAATGGGATCTTTGGTTCCAGTTTCTAAAGAAATCAAGGAATTTCTGGAGCTTATTTCAGCATTCAAAATAGTTAATACAATTTAGAGTGCTGTCTTGCCTGTGCAATGTATATCATAATATGTGTTATATATGTATGCATATGTGTGTTTAACAGAATATATAGGTTGTAAGCAGTTTCGCTGTCTTCCGGCTAGGTACCACGCCCATGCTAGTGGGGTCTCAAGTGACGAGCTTAGGTTGCCAGTTCTCATGAGTGAACAGTCGGACCTCGGCGCTAGCAGTTTACCCCTTCTGTTGATAATCCCACAGTTTTGGGTGGGAAAAATACACGATGTGTTCTGTATTCACCTTTATTGTCATTTGTTCCTACTCTGTCATAAACTAGTTAGACACCACCAGTCAAACTAAGACCTGGTATGAGATTATGAAAACCCTAACAAGGACACTGGGTCACATAGGTTCCGTTAGGCTCCTTGGCTGGGGACCCCGAGATCATGGTAACCGGTGGTTAGAGACACTGAGTGATATGGCCTAGTGTTGCAAACAGTGGTGCTCGTTCATCTACTCAATATTCTTGCTACCCCAGTCTGCATGAATTTGCTATCTTCCCCTTGAATTTACTCTGAACATTCCAATCTTCATTCTGCTCTTTTATCCAAATAGGCGGCCAAAAGACAGCAACAAAACTGGCGCACGAAAGTGCATGGTTAATGATTGTAAAAACTGAAACTGGGTTGGATACCACAAATGAAGTTCGCTACTCAAGTTCATACTGATGAGGCAATCGCAGTTTCATTCTGAAGTCCACACCTATATGTGTTTTATATCTTAGGTACATCGTGAGTGTTAACTTCCCGGAAAACAGTGTAATTTATTCAGAACGTGTGTTTAACAGAATATATAGGTTGTAAGCAGTTTCGCTGTCTTCCGGCTAGGTACCACGCCCATGCTAGTGGGGTCTCAAGTGACGAGCTTAGGTTGCCAGTTCCCGGAAAACAGTGTAATTTATTCAGAACGGAGAGATTAACCGTTCTTCCATGAAACCTAATCATGTATAACCAGTGTATTTTCACACTGGTTGCTGGCCGTCATCATCAGTATGCGTGCTCTCTCCCCATTATGAGTGTAACCTCAGTGAAATTGAAAGTAACTGGTCACTATGGAGCGGAACCTTTATTTCCTGTTCGGTTTCTTCTATCGTGTTGTGGTAAACGTGATATCGATCCGAAGAAGTGACGTTGTAAATCCGAGCTCTGGTACCGATTCAGCGGTAGTTCATGTACGTCACACTTTGTGCTCGTGTTCAAAAAGAATAGAGAAATTGTGTTACCCGAGTTCATTAATTGAGATATTTTAATGAGTATCACCACGTGTGGCTTGTCTGTCATTTTACAGATGTCATATTGTTGCTTACCATTATGGGCTACGAATAGTGAAAAACAAATATTCGAAACGAAGTTCCATTGTTATCAGTCAATTGACCCCATTCCATCTGTGACAAATGTGTTTATAAATTCTTTGTCACTAAACCCCACTGTTGTTGGAAAGACTTGCAGTGATTGTGAATCTTTTTTTATTCCTTTCATGCTTAATGTTTTACCAGTCGTAATATATTTATTTTTATTTTCATAAATCGTACAAATTGCGATGGAGCTGTTTGGTGTGGATGCGAAATCAGGTAATGATACAAAAGGGATGGGTTAAGCAGTGAAATCAGTGATGCAAAAGCTGTGTAATCTGTGCAATAGCTCTCCCCATTGTGCAAAAAATAGCATCAGTACGTGTACTCTAACAAACTGCCGATTATGTGCTTTCCTCCCTATCGGAGATTAGGGTTGTGGGGGCACTGTGTCTTCTCACAATTTGATCTGAAATAGGGGTAGATCGATGCAAAGGAATGAACACTGACAACTGGAGACGGAATCAGATACATCTTTGTAGTTGGGATAGGCTTGGTTTACATCCGTTCTCATTTACATCCCAACTTGACCTGACTTTTTGGACACCTTAAACTGTTGGTGGTTGTCTATCGAGAGAATGTTTCTGGATTGTAAATCATTTTCTGTGTTCACGAGCGGCAAGGTATGAAAGGAAGACGCTGATCAACTAAACCCATCAATAACGATCACATTTTCTCCTTGACTCCGGCCGGTTTAATTTGTTATTCCGAAACCAGTCTGATAGTAAATACCAGTGGTATGAATATAACACGGTGTAATAATAAGGTACGGTGAAGTTTAAAGGAATTCAACTTCAAAGGGGCGTCAATTTCTTCTGATTGTATTCCAATAATAAGAGCATATAGTATGCAGAACTGAGAGCTGCTAAAAGTCTCGCCGCTACTGTCGTTTATTTTATGTTAGATGGTTTTATCTTTCAATAATATACTTTTTCACTCTCACTGTCCTCACTGCATTTCTGAATTTAGCATTTTGAACATCTTAGATTAAAAAGAACAAACTAAAGTAATTTAACAGAAACACCAATTTAGTCCCATCAACAATAAGAAACATGTTCTTATCCCGGAAATTTCAGCAATAAATTTTTATGCAACTGTTCCCGGTACCGATGTGATCCAGGTCTTTTGATTCCTTTCAGGAGCTAGATGTATCAGATATTCGGTACCTTGACCCACTATGTTTTCATCCTGAAACCGTGTTTCTGATGGCATACTTGAGTTGTCATGGTGCCTCACTCAGACATAAACTCCGTTCCTATTTGTTGATATATCAGAAGAACATGGAAATACTAATTACTTATCGCTTAGCTCTTGCCTCGTCTGTATAATAGTATCTTCATACCACAGTAAACAACACAAAACTCGTGATTTGAGGGATAGGATATGCGAATCAGGCTAAACCAGAGGTTAAATCTACCATATAATATACTCGAAGTCTTCCTGATCCAACCAATTTTAATGTGTTCAATAACTGATGGGATGAAGTAGTTTGTGCAACTCTTAGGACTGCAGATGTTTAGCAGTAGACCATTTTATCGGGATGTCACTCCTTTTATATCCCTTGGGTGATTTCTGAATTTTGATGAGACATACTCCTGAAGTACACTCATCTTGTTGTATAGAATAACCGTCTGAAACAAAAGTTTGTCTCTCCAGAACCGCGTGTGATTGCTCAGATGCGATTGTTCATAGCATTTGAACAGGTCTTCCTCTGATGTGCGCCATATGAGGTATTTCGTTCAGTATCTGATCGTACCCACTCTAATATTTGTCGTCGTTCGGTCATAATTAGGTCTCTGGTTTAAACCTCTCCATCTCAAATCACTTACGCTTCGAAGTGACGAAATTTGAACCATTTTATTCTAGAATTGGCTAAATTACTGTATCCTACAATTACCCCGGTTTTCAAAATCATAAATCTTTGTCAAATTCTGTGTCAAATGATTCCTCATCCACTTTAGTTGTTGACAGTGTTAAGTGTAGTCCCAGGAATGTTGTAGTAGAAAACCAGCAGCCAAAATCCAATGGAACAAAGCAGACCTGTGATCAATATGCAGCGAAACAGTGCATGTAGGGGGGTTAGGAGAAGGTCAAGGTTAGACCAATGTTCACGTGATCTTATCGACTATCTATAATGATTAGTGTAATGTCAACGAGTCGCACAACACTGGAGTTAAATCAGCAGAAGTGAATTAAAATGGGAGAAATTTATTTAGGGTACAGCGTTTAAATTGTAAAAGACATTCGGATGACATTGAACATTTGTTTAGCATTACCTCACAGTAGTGGTGTATTTTCTCATGACTATTTTCGGTCACAATAAATATGAAGGATTTGATACCGTGTCAAACAGCTTGGGCTTGATTTGTGCTTCGAACATATATCTGGAAATCGCGAGGATAATTTACTGTACAATTCGCTTCTTAAACTGATAAAGTCCATCTGATAGACAGAACGGTCAGGTGAATCCCGAAAAATCTCGTTTCCTTCCGTACAATGATTAGGTAATTTTGTTGAATTGAGTGAGGTTATTGCATGCGTGACTTTAACGCTCGGTGAAGTTTGCTTGACTGTGTTTCGTTGTACGATGATGATGACACTTAGTGATTGATGAGGTCTGATTTTTGCACGATTCGGAAGATTTCGCAGATTTCGCAGACAATCACGCACCTGGAACTTCATCTGATCAGGCAACGACCCTCTTCAGGTTCTAGTTAGCTGAAAATACCGGGTTTGAATCCTTAAGAAGAGTATATGCTTTGAATTTGGGAACCTGACAATATTGCGCCCACAGATAAATCACGGATTTCTTCTTTGCCATGGAGATACTTGTACCATGATCTGTTCTGCACATGGTCTTGGCTCAGGCAGATGGGAAGCTATATGACGTAGGAAATTTACTTAAATCAGTCAGTTAATATAATAAAGGTTTCCTGGTATTCTATTTTGACGGAAACAGTGAAACGGATAGAAACGGAAAAACTTATTGATCGCATTGAAAGAAGTATGTATATAGGGTTAGTTTTTTTAAACGGATTGCCGTCGTAAGATTTGTCCGTTTTGAAACGATCACACCGCCATCAGTTACCGCTGGAGGAGGTTGATTCAAAACTGCCACAGTTTTGGTAATTAGCAATTCTGGCCCCAGAAAAAATGGGCGTAAGGTAATTAAGGAATCCGATGGCATCCTGATTCGCCATCAGCAACACCGCCTTGATTTATGGGCTTAACATTTCGAGGCTCAGTTCACCTGGCTCTCATTAACAGTTTTTTATTACACACAAAAGTGATTTACAGCCAAAAGTGGGAAACCCCTGTCAACCTTTACACCAACTAAGCGAATACTCCCAGTTAATGCCGTCCTCCATCTGGAATGGAGGTTTCCAGGGAACTAAGTTGTCTTAAAAGGTATAAGGTTTCCGGATCAGATGGGCTGTCCCCATCAGCTTTTACGGATGGAAGTGTGGCCTTCGTTTTGGAGTTGACGAAACTCCTGGGATCACTATGGTAGAGGGAGCAAGTTCCAAGTGAATAATGCTAATCGGTTATCACACCGCTTTACAAGAAAGGTGCCAGATCCTGATATGAAAACCACCGGTGAATAAGTTGAATTAACATCGCCCCTACATTTCTCGCTAACAACATACTCCGTCGATTGTCTGCCGCACGTAGACGATGCACGGGTGAGAATCAGGCTAGTTTTAAACCTAGTGGAAGTTGTATAGACCACTTTTTCCCCCTTCAACAAATTTCAGAACATAGACACTCCTTCCGTAGACCTATTATTTCTGTTTTTCTCGATGGGAAAGCAGCTCTCAATTCAACTAATCGCTCTATACTCTGGTGCTAGTTCTCTCTGGAAGTTCATTTCAAGAAATTCATTTCAATATTAGGACCCCTTTATACTGATAACCGAGGCCGAGTTCGAGCTTACGGCAATTTTTCGCCCGAGTTGACCACGGAAAGTCATCTTCGTCAGGTTTGCCTTCTCTCTCTGTTTATATTTGACTTTGTTCTAGATTTGATTAGAGNGATTAGAGAGACAGTCCTATCCTCGTGCAAGAATAGTGGCATTGATTTGCTCCCAGTTGGCAGACTATCTGATCAGGAGTATGCAGATGATATTGTACTGTTAAATGAAGATACAGGTAAGTTGCAAGCGTTTCGGTATAGTTTGAGTGCTCTTGTAGCCATGCTCGGCATGCGTTTTGCACCTTCAAAGTGCAAAATGTTACTACAAAACTCGGTTGGTCCAACACTCAGCCTCACTCGTACTAAGGAAGTAGTGGACCAAGTGGACAGGTTTGCTATTTGGGCAGCTATATCTCAACCAGTAGACGCGTCACGGATGAAGTGTCGGCAAGCATACAGAAGGCTGGCTTGGCATTTGTCAACTTGAGTCATTATTTCCGCCGTGTCATTGGGTTGCCCGTAAATGGTTGACTATGCTGCAGCAGTTCGACCAGTCCTGCTATACAGCACAGAAACTTGGTCATTAGGAATACTGGGTGAAGGCTGTCGGTGTTTGAACACTGCTGTCTACGTAGCATTTTACAAATCTGGCAGGGAAACTTGACGAGAAATACTAAAGTTAAGTGTCCAGTTTTAGGCAACCGCCTTCGTCCACTGAAGCCAGATTGGACCTCCTTAGATTACTTTGGTTAATTTGTTTTACTTATATCACGAAATAGGTTGCCATAGCGCTCGATGTTTGTCGAGGCAGGTAGTGGGTGTGTAACAGCCAAGGGTGGTCACGTTGAAAGCTGGCATAAGGGTATAAAAGCCCGAATCAGGAGATTCAGTCATATAGGTTTCATTTTAATCATTTTTCATCAATGGTTAGATACACTGAGCGATATAGCTAAGTGTCGTAAACAATGGCGTTTGTGCATCTCAATTTTTTCAACCTTAGATTACCGAAAGTCTCCATTCTCTCTTCGACTCTGCCCCCAATTTTCCTGCCTTTCTCCTGCTTCATCAAAATGGGCAGCCATTAGTCAGCAAACAAAACTGGAGCACGAAGGTGCCTGATTAATGGTTGTACAAACTTACACTGTTTTAGAACGGAGCTGATGACTTTGTATCATGTAGAATTAATACTTGTATACAGTCTGCGAAACGACTGTTATTTGGTCGCCAGATCGGGAGTCACTTTCATTGGTTATTTCGAATATTTTTTTCCTGCGTGATCCGTTACCATCGTGCTCTCACGCCCGTAGGCCACATTTCTACAAAACGAAATGACACTAATTCGTTGCCAGTTTTATATTTGATGCGCAAGTTTATCAAGGGTGGTTGCTCCTTTTCCCCCGACCATGTGGTCTTGTTAAAACTTGTGCTGATATTTTACTCATGATTTTGTCTTACCGTCCCTTTGAGAACCGGTGGTAGCATTAGGGCTACTTTTAGCAGCTTGATTTAAAATAATTTGCACCCACTGTATCTGCGCCTCTACCTCCGTTTCGCAGAACCTATTTGCATTTTCACTTCTTTTAAACGTGTTCATATATTTAGATTCCCCTTCTTTGGTTCTCTTGTTCGATCGTATGCGTCAGGCGAATGAGAGGAGCCATATCTGTCATATATATAGGCTTATTATTAACTGATTTGTGTGGGCATCCATCTTGACCACAATCCGTTCGCATAGCTCGGGTCACAGTAAATCACTTGTCTTCACATGGCATGTCCAATTAAGTATCTCCCATTATAACACGTGACGTTAGTCAAATCATTCATACAATGCTTTTTCTCGTACGAGGTCTCAATCATATATAATTTCTGTCATTGTGTACTTTATCATACAACTATGTGATCTGATAACAGCGTTATTCTTCGAGTCGAGTATCTTGTGATAGATGGATTTTGTATGGAATTTGATAAATTACCACTTACGTAGACAGGGGGGGGGGAGGTATAGTCAGTCCAATGAGATAATAAACATGGCATAGATGAAAAGCAGGCGTCGGGGTACGGTCACCGATGTGCATATAAAAAACGCTTTTTCAATCTTTGTGAATAGCAGCTCATCCTTTTCTTCTTGTTACCGCTTTAGGAACTTGGAAGATCTACAGTTTCGTATGGAAGAGGAGAACATTAACAAGTCCACAATGGAGCCTCGCAATGCAGATGAAGATTCAAAAATTTTCGAATTGGAAGAGGCACTAATTAGCGCGCGTGAAGCGAATGAGCATACCGAAGCTGAATTGGAACGTGTTCGAGCAGAGCTGGCTGCATTACAAACTGCTCATTTGAATATGGCTTCTTCGAGCACAGCTACCGAAGAGCCTACAGTACCAACTGACTCTGAAGCGTCAAAAAACGACAATCAATCTGCTTCGACACATGATCTGGAGCGTGAAGTGCGCGTGAGTTTTTTATCCAATAAGTCTGCTGTCTAATTTTATGTCACTTCCACTCTATCATTTTTCATTATTCAACTGTGTTTTTCCGAGGTCAGGCATAAACATCATCTCGTTTGTCAATGCTTCACAATGTATCAGGTAGTAAATAACAGGATTTAGAAGAGAATGATATGCAATATCTGTTCCACTCTGTGTTCAATATTCTGTTCAACAATCTCATATACAAGAACGTTGGTTCAATGCGATTCGGTCAAGTGGTGCGATCGATATATACGGTTACTGATGTAGCAATAGCCTTCTCATCTAGAAGTCAGATGCTCAGGAATAAGTTTCACGTTTATGGTATGGTTTATGTGCTTCGATTTGTAATGAACTGCGTTTGAGGATCTCCGGAACAGGCGAGGAATGTGAGTATTTGAAGATATCTTCTTCAGTACGAATATGGTACTTCTTTGTTTGGTTAGTTCGGGGATTCGCAGTTGGGTGGAAGCGATCGTAGGTATGAAATACTGGTTATGTCGACCGACCAAAATTGAAATCCTAGTTTACAAAGTCCGGTAGATCGACGATTTATTCTCAGGCTGTGAAATTAATTGCGGTTCTATCGAACAGTACTTCACTATGAAGGCGCTGGTTTTAGTTCTGTTCTATGACTCCGTCAGTTGACATTCTCTAGTGCTCTTTCTCCAAGACATGGTGTTCCAGGGAAATTGAACTCTCTCTCCTAGTCAGTCGGTGTTCATGAATAGCGACAAACTTTCATAACTGGCTTCAATTGTAGTTCATTTATTCCCGATTCGCGTTTTCGTTTTCAAATGGGATACTTTAACATTAGGTTGAAGTCCTTTTTATTGTTCTTTTTTCTTCCTTTTATTGAATACACAATGATACAGTTTTCGTGAAGGGGGAAGCGGTCAACCAAAGGACTGCCAAACAACATACAGTGGTTCAGGTCAGCTAGTGATAGTGGGAATCGAACGTACGCGGGTATATGGTAATGATTTCGTTGTCCGATCGAATTCAGATTAGTCGGCTGTGCTGGTTAAAACATGTATTGCGCATGTCCAGCCATCGTTTACCGCACCGTGCCTTATTTGCAGTTTCTGCTCCAGGTTGGAGGGAACCACATGGAGGTTAACAGATCACGTGGAAACGAGGCCTGAAGAAACCCACAGAGCAATTAGGTAGGATAGGTGTCTCCCCTCTTCCAGGTTAAGCTATGAAAGATTCCGCAACTGATGGAGAAATTGAAGGAAATGGCAGCTAACCGACAGCAGTGGCGTTCTTGTTGTTATTTCTTATCAACTCAGAATGGTTGAAAATGTATGTATGCACAATTGGGTTGTGCACCATGTGTACTGACCATAGAGGTTCACTTTTTTTTACCTCTCACCAATTAGGCCCGATCTGTCTCCATCTTGTACATTCTCATTTACTTTATGGACATAGTGAACTTGGCAGCGATCAGTAAAGTTCGCCGTACAATGATGATGATGAATCATTATCGAGCTATCAATGGGTAACGTAATAGGAAATATGGTTATCGCTTTATTCAGTGGCATAGTCACAACAACTTCCAGCCATTGGTAGGCCTCCGAATTCTCCGCTAAGCTTCCACTCTTGATTTGCTCGGAGAAAGACGAAATAAATTAAGAAATACGAACACATCAAAACTATGGCATTCAAAACAGATCGGAAGGACCATGTCCCAGCGGGACTCCAGAAACAAAAGTTCAGTTCTGTTACTCAAGCGACCATTTGTTCACCGATTCTTGTTGCTGTGTTTCGTAGGCTCATTTAGTTGGCCAGCTAAAAGGGATAAATGGAAGAAGTAAAACGTGGAAAGCCGGGACAACATGGGCGTGCTGAGTGTGAGTACGTCAAACGTGTGCAGTGAGTGAATGAGTAAGTGATGCACCGGCTTCACTGTTTTCGATATTTTGCCCTATCACCTGGTGTTTCTAACCATTATGGTTGAGTGGGTCAGAAGTTTCTCGACCAAGAAGCCTAGTGCGACTTAAGTTTTTTGGTCCAAAATTACCCCACTCCCGTCCTTTGTCATAATAGTTCCTTTGCCTTCATTCTCCACAAACTCGAGTGGGAATCGGTTTTGACTTTATGATTTGGGACACTGCCACGTGGTGGTATGCTAATGGCGTTCGGTTGTACTCTAAAATCTGCTGAAGGTCACTGAAGAAAATGGAGTATTCGGATCGTTTTCAATGGGTGATCAAATTCAGATATTTCACGACAATTTTACGATCAACAACACTCGTTAATGGGTTTTAGCTTCGAATTCAGAAACGAACTAACGGAAACCATTCTGTCATCTATGCAAGTTCCTCGAAAGTTTCAATTCAGTCACACGATACACTGCCTACCACATCGCATGCGCATGATGCCTCCGATTTCCTGAACTGTGATCTTATTTTGGTGTTTCCGCTATTGTACACCAGTTTCTCATTATCATTTCATAACGGCCTAAACGGAACGTGCACCTAGTAGTGGCCTCAAGCCTGTCTTCTTAATGCTTCATTACACCTCTATCACGTGTACTAGTTTAACTTATTCCAAATTTAGTTCTTTATTGTTCGCATATCTTAAGGTCACAACAGTTATTGAACTGCTAATTAACGTACATGGTTGTGATCTGTTGCTCTTTGTGTGTGCGTGTGTGTGTTTTACCACCATCTGGTTGTCTGTCTCCCTCGCTCTTGTGCTTTTTGCGGTCAATATTTGTTAGTGCTCATTCTCAGATCCTTCTGTCTGAAGACAACCACTGATTAGTGATACTTTCTCAGCTACTGATTAGATGGCACCCGATTTTCCCCTACAATTATGTCTCACTCTCTCGCATAATGTCCGTTTGCCACTAAATCTCTGGGATTGTGATGTAGTCAATTCATTAATTTAACCTGTCTGAATCATGGGACTGGAAATGTATTTAGGAAGCTCTTTGCGTGCGTGGTATCCATGGAAGCACAGCTGAATCTATGGTAAGTCGAATAACTTGGACGACTAGTTTTTTTCTCGCTCAAACTTTATTTGTGGTTGTTGAGTGGGAAACATCATCTGAAGTAAATTTTAACTGTCATGGTTAGAACAATTTTCATCTGTTCCGGTCCGCGCATAATGGAGTATTTCCTGATATCGCTTCGTCATGTGGATGTGAAAGCAAAACAAAGTAACAGAAACACTTCTGTTCCCTATCGAAAAAAAGAGAAAGAAGTTACCATATTGATACTAGCACACTTTATCTCGCCTGGGTAAATTTTATCGTTATAATGAATGTATACATATATGTCTTTTGCGAATGCATTAATTTTCGTCGGCAGCAATGTTTGTACACCGCCCAAGATGTAAGCCAGACTTAGTTTGTTGAAAGTCCCGAAAAACGGACACCACCTAGTTCCCGTAAACACGGATTAGGCAATCCGAACAAAACGTTCCAAATGAATGCTACTATATGTTCAGGCCAAATATTGTGCGCCGTTTTCTTTCTCGGTTTTATTTCCCATCAGGACGCCAAAGTAGGCTCGCCGAGCAAATTGTCCCTTCACCGGGTCAATCTTGTGGCCCAAGCGTCAGTCGCTCCGGTCCAAATGAATCCAGATAGTGCACTCCAAGCCGAATGTGAGCGCCTTCGTCGAGAACTCGCTGATCGTGAACGCGTAACAGAAAGTGCCCTAAAGCGTCAAGCAGAGGTGCTCGAAGTGGTTTCCTCAGATTTCCAGAAGCAAATAGCCGATCTGAATGCGCAAGTTCTCTCCGCCTCTAAGTACGTTCTTTTTGTTCTACTGACTGTATTCTTTTTTAATTTTCGAATCATATACATTGCCTACTTATGAGTAGCATAACTTGAAAATTGCTTCATAAGCGATATTGTTTGACGAATGAACTTAAAAGACATAAAACAAAAAGAAGATTTCGTTGGTGGCGAATGCATTCGATGCCAGTCGTTACCTCCCGACGACTAAGAACGTATATGAAAGTTACCTGGTGCAATGCGTTGACCTCGTTTCGTGTTTCTGTGGGCTTGCATTCAGGAAAAAAAACTTTATTCAGATGGATCTTTCTGCTGTGACACTTCTTTTTTATCCATTTGTGCTGTGGTTGTTTAGCATTCTCTAGCGCATAATAACTAGCTTTGGATCAATTATTAATCTTTCCTCATCAGTAATGGAGAGTTTACGTATGTACTATTATCCGGGGAAGTCCTGTTAGGCGTTCGGCGGTTTGATTATTAGCAGCGTTTTTCTAATTGGTATCCCACTAGCAACAAAATTGCGATCACGGATATGGGTTACCGAGAATAAGTGTATATATATATATATATGTATAAGCTGGTACGGTGAAATTCAATTTTACGTTATCGCGGAGGATGTCTGTACCCGCAACCAGATGTATACAATCAAATACAACTCTCTGTACCTGTTTATCTTATACGACTATCTCCCGCGTCCGATCGAAGTTATCCATGCGTTGCAATCTGAGGCAAGTTTGTTGCACTGTGGAATGCCATGGTTGCATCAGTTTGCAAAAGTTTTGAAGAACTTAATTTTTGAAGTGTTCATCTTCAGATCGGCGGCTTTAGCTTCACAATGGATACTGTGAAGTAGCAGTCGTAGGCTGTCATGATCATCTCCTGAAAGGACTAGTGTCGGAAAATTTGAGATCAGCAATTCTCGTCTCGTTTTTTGACAAACGTTTGTCTCTATATTTGGTTAACTGTAACTATAACTGAGGCTCTCCTTTTTCCCTCTCTCTCTCCCTCTTTCCATATTCCGATCTTATCCCTGTTTTTTTCTTTATTTCGCTTTCGCATAGTACCATTTTTAAATCGTCCGTGTCCAAAACGGTCGTTTATGTAACATTGATGAACTTATTTTGTTTTCTCTTGTCCCACCTTTAGAGAGTTGATTGCCTCGAGAGAAGAGTGTCAGACGGTGAAAGAACAGTCACAGGTCACCATAGCAGAACTACAAGAAGAGATTCATCAGTTAAAGAGCAAATTTGCCGATGAGGAAAGCAAAGCCAAAGAAACTTTGTCTTGCTATCAGAAACGTATTGAAGATCTGGTCAGTTGAACTTATAATTTCTGCTAATACTCCCCCCTCTCTTCACTCAAACCACTTTGTTCACAATTGGTGGATCTGTGCATGTTTAACATATACAATACTCCTTCCTTGTCCCATCGAATCGGTTTATCCTATGCAATGTATTTTTATTGTTCGGGTCCCGATCCGAAATGTCTTAAGTTATATTTCGAAACCATAGGGCGCTCTTTCACGTATGTTTTTATCTACGAGACATTTCTGACGCTAAAACAGCAAACTGTCTGGACATGGAGGTATTTGCGTCTGTCCGTTTAATTCACTCACTGAAATTGGTCGTTTCACTCATTCATTCTCTCCCCGAAAACTCTGTCTCGTTCAACCTAGATGACTCAGTTGGATTCGGAGAAAGGTAAAACGTCTGCTACTGTCATGGAACAATCAGTGGCTCTTCGGAAGTTAGAAGAGAAACTGAAAGTTACCGAGCGTCAGCTCTTGGACTACCAGGTAATCTAGTGATGTTCTCTTCTGTCAGTATCTGTTCTCGTTAAAACGGTTTTCTTTTACTCGTTCTGCAATCCGATTCTCGGTTTTTGTAGGCTCGGTTTCGCGAATGTCTTAACTCAAGACGCATATCCTCAACGTACTGTTTGCGTTATCTGAACGCGAGACCTGATGTGCTCAGAATGGGTCAGAGATGTTGTCGGATTTCGTCTTACAAACGAGGGAGTGGATGAGCCGATTTACTCATGCTGAATGACCATCCAAACGAGCGCCCCTTCATTGAAAGGGGTATGTCGTACCGACACCAAAGATGCCACAGATTAGCAAACACTGATCTAGCTTTGATTACGCGGTGATAGATCTCACCCATATTTGCGTCGGCTGTTATGCAACTCACCAGATAGAAAAAGCTTTCGACTACTTCCAGACTGCGGTTACCCAACGAAAGTACAGGAGCAAGTTCCTGCCAATCTTGCAACGACATCTTGCACTTTGAAGGTACAAAGGACATATCATAACGAGAAATTTTCAGAATAAACCATCATTACACATTGTAAGAGGAACACAAGGTAGCGAATATGCTCTTTTGTGGTGATTCTCCGCACATATAAAATTTTTGACATAAATTATGGTGCATTAGCCTGTAGAGGAATCACCGCAAACGAGCTTGTTCGCTACTGTTTTTTCTCACATTAATGATAAATTTCAATCGCCAAACGATTCAGTGACTCTTGAATCACCGGTGCGTTGTCACCGAGTTTGGCAATATCAACGGTGTGCTCTGAGTCTACGACTCTGTCTCCAAGATGAAGCTCGATGCCAGCGTTCGTTGACTAACGCTTTTTGCAGAACATCATCTACGCCAAATTTGAAGAGAAACGGAGAGATAGGGTAACCCTGTCGTACCCCACTGGGGACAGAAAACGATGATGAGAGTTCACCATGGTCACTATCCTTCCCAGAGGCCTGGTTGTATAGTGCTTCCAGAAGCAGGAAGTACTTCTTGGGTGCTCCGGATCTCAGCAAACAGTACCACAGTACGGGGCGATTGATGGAGCCGGAGGTTGCTCTGATATCCAAAAACACGACGTGTATGGCCGTGTTCTATTAGCTGACAGAGGGTGAAGGTTTGATCTATGAAACACGAAACCCGACCTGCTCTTCTTGGATTTGTCTTTCGCGAGCTGGTTTTAGTCTGCGCAGTAAAACGGACGCTAGCAGCTTCGGTGCTGTAGGAATCAGACTTGCGCCTCTGTTGTTGGAACGGGCGTTGCGACATCCCTTCTCGTATATGGATGCAACAATCGATTCTCTCTAAGTTCGGAGTATAGCTTCGCTCTTCCAGATATGCGAGAACAGTCTGAAAAGCTTTGTCACGAGAGCTTTCCCACCATCTTCAAGGAGGGTAGGTAGGTCGTCTGATTTAGCTAACTTGTGGCGTTTCAGGTCTTGGAGTTCCTTTCGGATCCCCGCTCTTGTGGCTGGTTCCGTGGATTGTAATTTTTTCGGTGATGTTCGTTGTATTTGTTTTACACTGTGGAATGAATCAACGATTATTGCTTCTTGCTTTAACACGGTTTGTCTTTTTTCCCAAATAACACTGTTTTAAACTATATGTATTTAATACTTCTGTTCTCATCATTTTATCAACTGATTAGTTCACGAGTAGTTGTTGAGGTGTTCCCGAGGTTTAGAACGTTACATTTCGCGATTGCCGAGACGCAAAAGGTTACAAATTGATCGACCGTACGCTCTACTGAACCTAATCTTTTATGTCTACTTGTGTTCAGATCCTGCAACCACTTCTGATCTCACAAATGATCCTTCGAAGAAAGTCGCTTCTGATTTACTGCTCTCAGTGAGCTATTTCTTTCTGTTACGTTCTTGATCTTTACATAGTTTTGGTAGCCGCCAATCTAAATTTACTAAGCCTAAGTTAAAGATTGTTATTCGCACCGTTTATTCAAATAATAACAATAATAATTCACTTTTATATAGATGATATTCGCTGGACGATCCACTTCTGCTTCGGTCATTTAGTGCATAACTTTTATTGCAATATTTTCTATCGAAATGTTCTAATCGAAATGCTACTTTGAACACCAAGCAAAGCGCTGAAAAAGCGTTTTAGCATTGTATCGACAGATCGTAATTATGCCGAATTGACACCGATACCGGGTCCCGAACTTTAGGACAGGAAAACACTTGGTCTTGATATCTGCTGTGACTGATGGGATAATCATGCGTGCAGTGATAAATCTAGCGTACAACATATCACAAATCAGAGACAATCTGTTGGGAGGGGAACACCGTCAGTCGGACCAGATGGAGGCGGAGCTACGAGGAAGTCCCTAGTGGTCATAGGAAGAATAAACAGGCGATTGAGATTCAAAAAGGCCATGAGGTGGTGATTGGTTTGGGTCAGGAGCGAGCAAGTGGCGAAAACGATCGGGGTAAACAGGCATGAAATAGGCGAACTAAGCAAGTGAGGTCTCACACATGAGGTGGATTGAATGGTGTTAATGTTGAGATGATCAGCATGAGGCAACGGGGTCATTGGTGATCGAATGGATTTTGGGTCGGGAATATCTCAAGCTACAGTATTCAGTTACAACCAAACAATACAAATGTTTGCAATAATGGAACAGCTTGCTTTGAAAGTTTTGTAACTTTTTACTCGACTCTCCTGCTGGAGAACAAGTCGGCTCCACGAATATTATCTATAGAGTTTCTTTCAAGTGGGATATACACCGGTTTGCCCAAGACCGTTCGAATCTCTTTCACTCCTCAACCTACAAAGTGGGTGTAGGAGGTACGTTAACAGCATCTCATTCAACCTTTTCTTTTGAGGTTCCGCCTCTAGCCTTTGCACAACCAATTGGAAACCTACTTTACTACGGCTGGCTCCTTTTAAAGGATAAATCGGTTCCACGAATGTCTTTGATTGCCACCGTGGAAGACATGATCATGAAGTTGCAAACTACAGAGTAGCAGTATTATTCCTTACGAACCGGTGATCTTTCGCCTCTCAGAAAAAACATGTCAAGCAGGTAAGGTATAAGAAGAGCGGTGACCTTGTTTAGCGATCGTTAAGTCGCCTTGTGGCCTATAGAGACTTGCTCGTTGGTTTAGAGTGGAAAGCGCTCATCGAACAGAACCGGACTGCTTCCCCGATAACTGCCATTTGTCGTCTGACACTGCTTATCTCGTGCACCGAGACTAATCTGATTTGTGGTTAACTACCAGGTTGATGCCCGAATCCCCTATCCTTAACTCGGACACGTACGGTAGCTTACACCGCTCTTTTCCGGACATTCAGTATTTTTGAGGTGTTTCGGGCATGTAAACTAACGAATGCGAAAGTTACCCATTTTTATTGCTGTATTGAAAATCGAATTATGTCGCTCAGTTCATTCCAAGTGATCTCAACCGTCGTACAAGTTTTTTTCATTTTTAATTGAGACTTGTTAGCCATACTTTGATGAATGCTACGTAAGTAAGGTATTGCGGTTGTTTGATCAGTCTGTTGTGCGCTAATCTGTTTCAATTAGCCAAGTATTTGTTTAACTACTTCCAATTTGATCAGTAGTATAAACAGCTGAAACGTTTTTAGTGGTTTGATTCATCTTCGTACGATAGCCAACTGAGCAGGTTGGCGAGGATTTCACTGTTCCAGTTACAAGTTCGTATGGGATTCAACAAGTTCGTAGGTTTACCTCTGCTCGTTCCAATGGCGCTGCAATGAGGTTTTAACAATGCATGTTTACCATCCCCTGGAGCTACTTTTTCTTAACGTTTATAATTGAATTGGCTGACATTTTCCCATTACGTTTTCGAACGCTGATTGCTCTCAGTCTGCTGGGAATTTTTATTTCTCACACGTTGTGTACTCCTGGTTCTAAATATCATTTGAATTCAATGAGAATTTTCATGCAGATTTTTTCATGTTTGTTCAGAAAACGGAAGATAATGAAGTCATTGGCATAGCGGGTAATAAGTGATAATAATCCATTATTATAATGGATGTGTTTACATAATTGCTTTCGGAGGCATAGGTTTCTAAAGCAGTTAGTTAATGGCAAATGATGTTAGTGAAGGCGTTTAATGGTTGATCTATGTATTTGGACAATCCTTAGTAAATCGAATCGATTTATATTTTGTAGTTTTACAATAAATTCCTGCCCCTTTTCCTGTCGGTTTTGAGATTTTCCTGTGTTGGATTATGGTATGCAACCACGGCTCTGTTTATGCTATATCCACTACCTTTGTCGTTGTTTGTGCTCTGTTCCATGTTGTATCTTATTCAGATTGCAGTTTTGCTATTGGTTCCACGTGTCCATCTCGTACTTTTTCTTTCTTTACACTTCAGCTGCGCGGTGTCTAGAAGTGATCTGCAAATCCCCACACTTTTATATGTAGATATACCAGTGACGCAAATGCACAAAACACATTCATCCCTGTTTGAGTTCTCCAATTTTGTTTGTGTGTCGGTCTTTCTCGGTCTACTTAGTGCTTACGCATGGCATTCTTTACCTTTCTGCAAAGTTTTGCCCGAATTCTGTGCTTTAATGGTCACACTTCAGTATATTGTTTTGATTCAGTTGCTGAAAAAAGGGAGGAAGGACACATGTGAGCGCGCGCACGTACACACATGCTTTGACCATGTGGTTTAAATAATCTCGTTCTGCTGGTGATGCTATCAGTTAATCCGGTTTGTTTGTTTGTTTTCCGGTTCTCCTCTCTCGCTCATTTTGTTTGTTCGTTTCACCGTTCGGATGCACTTCGATTTGTGCTTCTACCTTCGCTCTATCCTGTTCTCACTGTATTACAGCGGCTAACTTGCACTGTCCACGTGTGCATCTGGGCTCATGTATAATTCCGTACTCCTGTTAGGTCCTACTCTCTCTCTCTCTCTCTCAATATTCAGCTATTTTTCTAAATGCACATGCTTATCTGCCTATGCGTATATCTATTATCATCTATACTCCCAGGCCTTCCATCACGGCTTACTCACTCAGTGTTCTCTTATTTTGAAAAAATACCCCCAATTGGTTTCACTGTTTCGGATCGCCAGCAATCCGTGTTGTTTTCTGCCCAGGAGTCAGTGCAAAATCAGATCGAGCAGGTGTCGGGATTGGCAGATGACACTTGTCCTATTCTAGACAAATCAGCTCTATTGGAACAATTGAAACGACAACAGGCCTCCTATGAGGAACAAATGAAGACATTGGAATCCGAGCGGAATGCGGCGATAGAAACGCAACGTGCGGTAGGTGCTACAGTACCGTTGTGTGTATAATGTGCTTTCTTCTGTGTTTCTTTTGGATACCGCTCCATCCCTCTTCCTCTGCCTGGCTCTCCCCCACCGGCTGTGGTAACCACCTTCGCCACTGGCCTTGGTTTTCTTCCGTGTGTGATTTGCATTTCGTTACTTGCACGCGTGCACCATCATGCGTGCGCACTGACACACACATACACACATGCACACGCGTTAACACGTCAAAAGTGCACGTTTACGATATGAAACGGTTCATTTTGTTTTTCTTGCCCTAGGCTGATGGGTCATGGCTCAATATCCTTCCGGTCGGTACTAAGAGGTAGCTTGATCGTGCGGATGATTATTTCCATCGGATCGACAGCACCCACTCCAGTTTCTTCACCCAAAGAGCTTGAGCTAGTTTTCATTAAAGTGGTCATTCTCCAGTTTCTGTATATGCCCCTCAGATACTCGTTTGTTGGTCTTCTGTTGTTCTATATAATACATGTTCTAACGATTCCCCCATTTTCTCCCAATAGTCTTGGACCGAAGGCTTTCTGGTGGAGCAGTTTCTGACCCATTAGGGAAGCGAAGTGTGAAAATCTGTGTCTAAGCAATGGTTGAAAATGCACCTGCAAAATTTCAGTTAATCTATTTTGAAGTTGAATTTCATTTGCTTTGAAGCAGTCTCTTTCCTTCAACGTTGTTTGCGTGTATATGTGCACGCCTTCGAAGCACAGTGCTAGCTGCCGATATCCGGTATTGTCTCGTCGACATGTTTTGGGTAGAGTCATTACATTTTGTTTCCGTAGAACGCTGTGGAGGTGACCGCTACAAACGTGGTCTCGTTTCTTTTCTGTCTGGTCATTCTTTACAATAACATCAACTGAATCATCAGATCTATTCCGTCTTCACCATGTGTACACTTAACAAATGCTAAGAAGGATTTGGGGCGGAAGTTTTGTCCAACTCCCTCTCCCATTTAGCGTAATTTGTGTTCATTGTACGCTTAACGCCGAGAAAACGGAAAATATAATGAAATGGATTAAATTTGTTCTATTGGTGACAGTACCTGTGACGTCGGTATCAGTGACTTTGAGAAAACTCCGGGAAGTTTTCATGAATCTCCTGTTCTGTGCAACGGGATCTGTAGCTCTGACAGATCACGTCCCCTCTCCCGTTATAACTTTCTCTCCCCCCACCACTATCCGTTCTTTTGTTCCGTTTTGTCCCACCCACCGACAAGTGTTTCAGTCAACTGAATCGGAACGGGCCAGAAAGCGCGGATCCCCCTAATGAGTGTGTCTCTCAAACAATGATAGATGAGTATTGTACTTCACTGTCTACATAGTTGCGCATGTGTGCTACCTTTTCTGCGATCGTTCGACCGGACTGATAACTTGGCTGTTTGGCTATCTGGTTGGTGTGGCTTGGTCGGTCACCTCGTTCGAAAAGTTTAATCACCTCCGGTTGCACGCAACACAACACTCAACACATTCATGCACGTGCCTTACTCTCTCCTGATCCTGTCACCCCACCAGTCCCTTCTATTCAGAACTTTGCCTCTGATTCCGAAGTGAAATTAATGTTTGCTCTGACAGGTGGCTGGTGAGCCCCTCTACTTTCCATTCCCCCATCCCCCGGTCTCCTTCGTAGCCTTGATCAATACTGCGGGCATGGTCATTTCGTGTGAACTGCAGTTGTTCAATTGAACGCAACATTGTAAATCAACCAGACACTTTTTGATCTGTCATAATTACATATCGTTTCATGTGTTTATTCACTAACACAGTCATCGATGTATTTGACCACTGTGTGTTGCTTGCCGTTTTTCAGTCCGGTGATCGTATTCAACAATTGGAAGCTGAGCTTTCTTCGCTTCGCGAGGAATTGGTCTCTTCCGGACACAAACAAGAAGAATTGTCGGAACAAATGAAATCAGCCAAGGAAGTACGTGACAAAGTTTTGGCGGAGTTATCTTCACTTCTTCAAGAACTTCCCGCTGTCGGTGGTGTGGAAACCGGTGATGGTGACTTGGCTCGAGAACTTCGGACCCGCATTGATTTGCTCGGGAAACATGTGTACGTGACCATCCTAAGCTCTCAATCTATCAGTTTTGACTCAATTACATCCAATTCCTCCCATAATTGTTCGTGTATTTTTGTATTTTAAGTCGATTGACTACAATTACCGCCTAGGTTCATTATCTCAACAGAAATGTACGAGCTTCCCTTAAGTTATTCCGAGTAAGAGATATTCACCCTTTTTGGGTGATTCAAACTTTCCTCTTACCCAAATTCGGTGATCGGTTGCTTTGCTGCCGTCTGACTGTTTATCGCATCTATCTCAGTGACGTCCCCAATGTGGTTCACCACTCCAGGTACTATGACTCAGGTTGCCGTTTAGCATGAGTAAACAATAAGTGCTCTTAACTATGGGATTTGCCTCTGTTGTTAACTGCTCAACAATTTGCGATCAAGAAGATAATAAGGTTTATTTGCAGTTTCAAACGCTGTAGTGTGCGCGATGTAATCGTTCAAACACTGATAATAAATCCATTTCGAGCAACGTCTTGCACACTAGCATGTACCTCTGCTCTCATCGGATGCAAAATTACGCGTTTCCCACTCAGTCCTTATGTGGTTCGTCATATTAAATCCCGTCATGGCAAGGATGCTGGTTTCTCAAACAAAACTCATCACGACGTTACACAGTACACAATGTACTGTATTGAGGCTGTAGCGCATTATATACAAGCTTTCAGCCAAAAGGATTCCACCGTTGAAATACTGGCAAAAACGGGAAAAGTGGGACATCACGCGTACACAAATGTGAATAAACTAATAAATGCATTAGAAGGCTCAAGACGAACCCTCTCCTCGTCGGTCAGTATCCGGGCGAGATAGGGCACCAAAGAGTTTCTGTATGCAGATATCCGAGATGGGATGAGTTTCTGTTTAGAACGGCTAGATGGGGTGGGATTTGCATGCATGTGTAAAGGATTGAATCAATCAGATAGAATATTGTAAGCAAACTTCAAGCACACATCAGTAAGTGCATTACGGATATTATCAATCAGAATAGATAACGGAACTTGGGAAACACGGCTAATCTCTAAGAGGCTACGTCTCAGAAACTTGAGATCGCCTCTCAGCAAACCAGGGAAAATAGAAGGGGAGCAGTAAAAGGGTGTAGTGAGAACACATTGTTGAACTAAAGCGCGCATATACTCTCAGATTATTCTCACCGAAATTCGTGATCTTAATCGTGCCTGAGCAACCTGAATCAACTTTCCCTATTCTTTTCCTTTACATCATTCGTTCTCATTGACTGACCCTCCCTATCCATTCCGTTCATTCTTTCTAATCAAAGCTGATGTATGTGTTCACTATGCCAAATCAGTCACTCCTCTAAATGCTCTTTTTATGTACAATCGTGAATCTCAGTTCTGATGGCCGAATCTTCAAAAGACTACTTTGAGATTGTCCATCATTCTCCTGACAATTTTGATTGTCCTATGATCGATCCTTTTCTCACTGCCCATTGAAAATATTTTTTAAATATATATATATTTATGTTTCACACGTTCAATGCCAGACTATGTGCCAAACAAATCGTGGTACAATGTAAAAAGAAAAACGCTCCACGATTTGCAAGTGGGCCGAATACTGCCAGGTTGCTCTGGCCAAAGCAGGTGAATTTTCTTGGGGAATCCACAACCGGAGCCTTTGGCTAACCAAAGCCTGACCCGCAAGACAGCGGGGCGGTGTGCGAAAATCGCAATCCATTGGGAGCCGGTGTCCAGTTCATCGGATTATACACCTTTCAAACGGGGTCAAACGTCCAAGGTGCCCAATACCCCTCGATGCCCAATCGAGCCGGTGACCGTTGCCACAACCGGAAAAGTGTGGGTGTGGTTCGTACGCCTCTTTTTGGTTAGTTTGGAATCAAGGTTTTTAGCCAACTCCCCCAGGTGAACTGCCAGTGGTTCACCAACCGGGTGATAGCCCCGAACGTCGGCTTTTTGTCCTCTCACTTTCGTGCAAAAACACCTCTGCCAGGAGAAAGCATTGAGTAGGACTTCCCCAGAGAGGCTATTTAAGACGCTTGGTAGTATGGGAGCATTTCGCGAGGTACAAAGGACGGGTGACCAGCCGTAACACCCAGTTAAGCATCCTAAACGAGTTGAACGTCCACAACAGGAGTGGTTTAGCACAGTCTGCGATCACCACCACCATAGGTCACGGGGTGCAGACATTTGCCAGTGTAAACAGCTCGTCGCAGTTGTTCACTTTCCCCATCCCTGCCCCCGATCTTACAGAGTAGTAGTGCGCTCATAACATTGAGTTGTTTTTAACTTTCCATTCTTCTCTTCTTGGGATTTATCCTCATTTTGACCCGTCGGATCATTGCCTTATCCGCTTCAATTTTCACACGGCATCTGTGGTCGCAACATTCTGTCTCACTACACATTCCGACATTACATGTCTGCCGATTCGGAGGCTTCCGTGATCTCCTAGAATCCTTTCCCCGGTGGGATTGTGGTTTTCTCCCCCAACTCCCACTTCGACCGTGAATCTTTTCGAGACTGTTTAAAATTAGTCCTTCAATGGACTAAATTAATTTTCGCCTCTTCGTCGAGCTTGCCATTTTGAGATTAAATGTGTCATGGTTTAGTCTCTCTTTCGGTGGGTCATTTGTTCCTTCAGTTTTATCAATGTGTACACATCTGGATCACCAGAATGACATCGGGGACCCTGAAGACAATGGCATATCCTAAAGCTATCCATACCGCTCAAAAGCAATAATCCACTTAGCCATGTAAGATATGTTAAGACCATGACCTGAGGAATTCCGACACACTGCAGCACACGCACACCATTCAAACTATTCTCTCGCAATCTTGCTCGAGCTAGGTTTGACCCAATGAAGAAAATACATTAGGCAGAGGATCAGGAACAAGAACAATTGTACCACACATCAAGAATGTGCCACTGATGATAGCAGTAAACCAATATACCGCCCACTTCCCACGGAAGCCAAAGAAGAAATAATAAAGTATTGAGAACCGCTATTCACTGATTAACTTGCGCGGACAGCCCGAAACACCAGCGGATAAGCTAGAAGAACGCTATTAACAAGGATTTCTGCACATCGATCGTTAGTGTGATGACGCATGACTCACCGTCACCTATTTCATTCCATGAATATCAAGGACGACACAAGTTCGCTTTTGAATCAGTGATGATCATTGATTGAGCTTGGTCAAAGCATACAAGAGAATTGCTCGAGACTTGGCATTCTTTGATCAACTCAGTAAACATGCACTTTGAGTTGACACGTGCATTGGTTGATACAACTCAAAAGATCTATGGTAAGTCATAACCTGACCTAGGAACCCGAATCCAAACGGAAGGACAACCCCCTCCGTGCTGGTTCAACGGCAAACTGGGTTGAAAACAACGGGTAGAAGGGGGCCGATAAGTCGCCAAACTAGAACCCACTTGAGCGAACGGGTATGAGCAGAATCGCATCATTCCGCAAGTACTGAGGATGTCATCTCGGTTGATAATAAAACATTTAACTACAAATTGCCAAACTCGGCGAACAATCGAATATACTCTCCAAGGCGTGAGCATATTTCTTTCAATTTACTAACCCCGGGAAACAGCACTAAAATGTTAATAACGGCATACTCCCACGCTGTTTGTCCGAAAAGTTTTCCAACCATGGTATTTGTCTTCATATCTCTTCTCTCGCCACTGTTATCTGCAAGCCTGAATGAAAGACTCCTCAATCATACAGAATATCAAATACTATCATGTTCGCCGTTAAGCAACCAAACTCGTCCACTGTCCTTGTGACAACCACTCATTCTAGTCCTTTGTCACGGTAGTTTTCTGTAATTCTAATCCTTCGTACTTGCCCCGGCCAAAGACGCTTCTGGTCATCTTATTTCCTATTCTTCTCAAAACTGAGATATTGGCCTCACTTTTCGCTCTCCATTTCACCAAAACCTCTAACGGGCACTCGTCGCCCACTCACTACTCTCCATGGCCCCACGCTTTGTCTCCTAGGAACAACCAGCTTAGCTCGACACTCGCTAGCTAAATCCGAGTCAAACGGTTGAAATTCCATCTCACCAATCGTGGTCAATACATGCATGTCAGAGCTTGCTCACACCACCCGTTTTCTTTTCTCTCCATCTCTCTTTTGCTCACGTGTTTCTTATCTTTTGGAAAACTGTTCACCTCTTGCTCGACTCTGTGTGATGGACATTCTGTGATCCGAGCAATCACCACCCCATCTCCCTCGTCGCATCAATTTTGTTATCACTGGAATCACTGCAAAATTTCCAATAACCGCTAATACGACTTCCGCTGACTCAGATATAATGGCGAGTAGTTGGCATAGGGGTCTCATATTTAGTCCTCCGCCATTGCTCACCATGACGAGTCAAATAGTTCTATATATGTCCAGGACATTCGACGGCCTCCGGCGAAGCTTCTCAATTCTTGAACCTTTCCCATGTTCCAGCACTTGGATACGCTACTTCCTTTGGGTTGTTTTTGTCTTGAATCGTGCTGATGGACTCATTCCTAGAGTACTGCCAGTTAATTCCGGTGTCCCACAAGGTTCCTTGGTATCTGTCACTCTCCTATTCATCGACCGCCTTTTATCCCAAACTCGTAATTCTTAGTATATTGTTGCCGATGATATCATCATACATTGTTTCCTTTCTTGCAACACTTCCTGTGCTTTACACCATCACCTGCGATAGACTAATTGTTTGTGCATCCCACGATTCATACCAGAATGTGATCGCTCCTCTAGTGACTAAAAATCGAGTAGTTTTCATTGCCGCTAAGATCTGTCTCCTCTGTCTTCATTTGCATTGTTATTCACTTCGTTGCTCATCTTCAATTCCACTTTGTCTCCGATTTTTCCATGCCATATCTTGGTTTCCTCATGGTGTTGTTGGACTTGCATTGCGTGCTTCCCGGGACGGCTTTCTACTTTGGGTTCTCGTAGCAAACTTTTGCTCTCTGTCCAATTTTCATTCTCAACCGGACCCGCATTCGTCTTATTATTAACTATTTATCTCGATCTTGGAAGGGATCTACTCTTGTTCTTCGGCACTTTCGTCTGTGTTCAGCTTAAAGCCATTCGATTCGTCGCCGATCCCTCCCTATCAACCCTTCTTCAACAACGCGTCTATCGTCTTGCGATCTTCTCGTCTTCCCTTTCTTATCGTCGTTACCATGGATTTGGCAATACCACACCTATCAGTTTAGCCCATCCCCTACTTTTCTTCGTTCACGGGATAGGGTCACTTTTTTCGGGTGACTCTAAAACCTGTCGAACGGCGGCATTTAAATCCTTGTGTTTCGAATAATCGCAGAGTTGTGCAACGCCTTTACTGCATTTCTTCTCGTTTACAACCTTTATTCAAACACACTCAGCAATATGGTGTTGGATGAATGTTTTTCCATGCCCATTGTACAGTAGTCTCTTTGTTTACGGAACTTACTCCTTTACTGAGTGTCATGCTCCTCCTCTATAATAATAAAGGACTGAACTACGTAATCAAAGGCTTCCATTGGTGTTCCTAACATTATCCTTGTGCTCTGGTTTGGCTAATCCACTATTATAATCGCCTTTAGCATTGGCAGTCTTCGGACGTTTTCATGAGTTCTTTTCGTTTGCTTTCGTCTCCTTTACAGTTGGGGTCCCAAGCCTAACACCACACACGTCCGTCAAAGGAGAGGGTAAAGGGTTTGTTGTACCTAGTGCACAACTTGCCCACTTTTCAGTGTAAATACCGTCAGACAGATTACGAACTATTTGATCATAGATACGGAGGATTTCCTGCCACTTCACAGCTTTCCCCAATGTGACTTGTAACACTTGTTCTTTGCCAGTTAAACTATTCAAACTAGTTTACCACTAAGGGCACTTATGTGAGTCATTGTTTGCTGGTTCTCTTCAATGCGTTTACGATCTGACGCTTGACAACCTTTCTTATCCATTCTCCACTTATGTTAGTCAATCACTGGTTGGCAAAGAATACTGGAGAGCTGTCTCGTTTTTTGTTGAGATAGAGTGATACCATGTAGTATTTTTTCGTCCCTCGCGGGACTTGAATTGCGAAACTGTGGTTAGCGAATTGAAATGCTGATCCACAGCCTCTCCGGCCAGTGCCATGAGTACATGGTTGCATGAATTAACTGTGTTCCCGACAATTCTAAGCGAATTACAAACATCATGACCTAAACATTGTGGTTCTTATGCGAATATAACTCTATGGGGTAGTTGAATGAATTCCTTCATGTCCAATACATTTTAGTGATGAAAGAACAACACACACAGATCCGTATACCTGCAAGTTCAAACCGCTCCACCGCCGCCCGTTTTCCCCATTTCTGTATTCTCCCCAGGCCGCCTTTGTATGACCGCAGTCCCTCTTCCTGAAAGCCGACTGTACATTTGTATATTCAATAAATAAAAAAGGAAGTAAAAAGACATTTATTCATAGTTCACATGAAAATATCAAGACCGTATTTAGTTTGAACAAACCGAATTGCCGTATACTCAGCCTGATACGTTTTTTATCAAGAAAACAAGCGACTATTTTTGTTGCTGCACTACTAACGAATCATGTAATCCTTCACCTCAAAATGTTTGTTAGATCTCGGGTTGTACAAATATTATTAGGCTTCTGGTAACGTCCCCATCGTTTCCTGTTGCCATTTTTGAGACTGTGATACATTGCTCATCCTGGTCACTATTTGTTTTGTATCCTTTCAAGTTGACGGATGATGATGAAGAAGAAGAACAGTCTCTTGGAATTCAAGATTGAAATGCTTCCAGTTTAAGTGTGGTTGAACCTTGTCACTGACAGTACTCAAAATTCCATCCATTTTACTGGTTTGTCGATGGTTTTGAATTTTGGAAATCCATGCAAGGAATAATATGCACTAGTGTTTGGGTCAAACAAACGTGTAAATGACCACTAACCCATATGCCTTAATTACACTTCAAATCATTTGTTGATCGCTATGTTCTCCGGGGTATTGGTGTCGTGATTAGCATAATTTTTATTGTTTTATTTGGGGCCATTTGACACCTCATCGTCCATCGCGATCTCTCATCCCATCGGTGCGTTGAATAGTGATCAGATTGATACAATCGTTGTCCGTCATTTCGCTGCTGCTCGATCACGAACACTGTCAAACATGTTGTCGGATACCTATTGTTTAATGTGTACTCTCTCGACTGCTAATTGCTCGCTCGTGCACACACCGTAGTCAGTTCTCTGCATTCCCTCTCGCTCTCTCTCCCTCACTTTCGGGCTGTTTGTTTTCGGTATGTTGCTACCCGACTAATGGACTTTTCTGTGCGTTAATCGCCCCAATCGAATTGTAGTCGGTAATAATTCGTTGTTCGACTTTGTATTCGTGCAACCACCCACGCCACTCTACTTGTGTTTGCATTGATGACTTTATTTACCTATTCCATTACAATTCCCAGCCGCATATACCACACTAAACGTTATCACCCTAGCATTGAGTGGTGTTCGATGCATTGCAGTAAAATCCCTCACACACACCGACAATACAGAACCACATCCCCGCGTTAGGGGCTCCATGGTGAGCTCGTGATTAAAGGAGTATGTCCACACACGGCCTCTGTGTCTCTCCTGTTCGACCCTCCAGAATTGCTGTGAGTATGATTGATTCAGTTTCTTCGCACGATTTGGCGGATCCCCGTTTGCTTTCCCTCTTGGCAAATGATTCTCGCCGTACCGACTCATAAAACTGTTTGGTTCAGTTGTATGTTTTCCCCGAAATTTTTCTCGTCACGGATTTTGCCGTTTTTCAGTTCAGCCTGAATTTTAGTAGGCTCAGCGAGGTGAGACATGTGGAACTTAAAATTTCTTTATTTGGTTTAACCAATTACATTCTGTTGACAGAGTATTATGCTTGAAATGCTCATTGTTATCGAGTTCAGTTGGGTGCTGTTTCGCAGTTTCGTAACATCGCTGCTTTATAATGTGTTCCATAAACGTACACCTTTGCTCATGTATCTATACCACTTTGCGCCGGAATAAACGAATTTGAGCTGGAAAAATGCTTTTGATCCAGTCAATTCACCAATTGTATCACTGCAGTTTACCCATTTAAACTTGTTGACACCATAAAATACTTTTTATCGCTTTTAATCTGCCGGCATCACGATTGTGCTGTAATTACATGTTATTTTTCTAAACATATGATGAATAGGTGCACGGCAAAGTTCCTAATTTAATATAAATAGCGATCAATGCTGGTAGATTGGTCATGCCACGCCAAGGGAGCTTTTGAAATGGATTGTCCGCGTTTTAGTACAGATCTCTGAATTCGTATCTGGCATCGTGCCAGCCGTTGTTATGCCCTCCGAACCTGTTGTTTTTTGTTGGACTGGGGGTGTTTGTTCTTAGCCGCGCTATCTCACAGTGGCGCAGTCAACTCATTCTTTCAATTATGAAGTTACTGTTTTGTTATAAAACAAACAATGAGCGTGCCATGTCATTTGATATGTCTGGGGGGTTTTATATCGATAGCCCTGGTGCAAACTGAAACTGGGATGAACTCCCCAGAATGTCCGTAAAAATACGTGAACACTAAACACCGATTTTGATGCATTCGAAAATTTTCCATTTCAATCTTTTTATGGGGACTGATTTCATCAATTTCGATCGTACATACACACGCAGGTTATGTTATATACTATGAAATTTAACCATGGTGTGCTCACAATAGAACGTCATTTGTTCGGTCGAAGGTTTTATTGTTTAGGATAGTCACCAAGTTTTGCCAATTCCTACTGCATCATTAATGCGATGACTTTCTAATCACACGTCAGAGTCTCTAGTATATAACACACATGACATGTTCGTTTCCGTTTGTGCTTCGTTCTCCCATTCGCATGTATTGGCCGATCTCCCGGTTGTATGTCTTCGTCTGTACCATGCAAGAGTGTCTGGCTCAAACGGTTGGTGTGCTGCTGTCAATATTCCCCTAGGTGCTTACTCGCACCATTTAGCGTGTGTGGATCCTTGTTAGTAGAACCGATTTCATATGTCGTCGTTGAATCACGTGGTGAATCTCGTTCAACCACCGAGTGGTAGTTGTCTTAGTATCCCTTATGCCACCTCCTGGAAGTTTTACTATTTCTCTTATTACGCGGTTAACCTGAACTTTGAAGGATGGGACGAATGACCCAGAGATACATTATGTTTGATTTGATAATGGTGCAGACCATTCACATCAAAACCAGTTTATTGATCCGAAGCTCTAAGACATGAAGACTATATGAATAATAAATATAAACATCGGTAGAGCGTTCCATCGATTAGTGGTTCTAGAAAACATCGAACTAAAGCCAGAAACGTTACTGGTAGGGACAATCAGACTCGACCGGTTTGACGGATTGTTGCCGACGATGCATGCCTTATCATCTTGAGGACACAGGCGAGAGTTGGGCAAGTGTGAGGATATATGCCCAAGGACATTGATAGATGTGCTACTGCCATCCGATGCCCCTTACACCTCTCATCTGATTGAATTGCTATACTTGCTTAATCGTCCTTATTTTTGGGAGGATTTTTTTCACCTCGAACTCCCGTTTGAGTTTATGCTGCACTGACACAACGCCTCATAATCCAGTACCTTTTTAAATGTTCTTAAGAATATTCTTCTAATTTGCAGAACGATCTTAATTGTTTTTTTACTAAGCCAGTGTTGATATATAATCACTATAAACTATGCATTTTTCATCACCCAATCGATTTTCCGCGTCTATCAGCTCTGAGGCCGAGGCTAATCGTGATGCGTTGGAATTACAAGTTCAAACACTACAGCGCGAGCGATCCGAATTGGAACGGGAACTGGCCGTATTGAATGCTTCACAGTCGAGTCACGATGTAAGCTTTTTCGCTTCTGATCTTCGCGTTCCCTTTTCTATGCATTTTCATTTGTCATTCTCTCTGGATGTGTCTTGCTCAGTGGAACGCTTTCTTCCGGTAACGGGGTCCTGANACGGTCGTGAAACTCAGCGCATTTGATTAATCTTATGAACTAGGGCATACCGATCAACAACTGGGAATCGCTCTATACCTTTTCTTTTCTTTCTATCTTTTTCTCCTTTGCCTTCCATTTCCATCCATATGATCGAAAGACATATCACATGTTAAATACTCATCCATCTTCTGATATGTTTTCCTTTTCAATTAGTTTCACTGTTCCTGACATGATAGATATCACTGTGTTAGGTACTAATCAATAATTTAGGCGTTATGAATGAAAGTGATATCAGATAATTCCCCCCCCTCAAATTGTTCGTTAGTTCGCGTTGTGATAGGTTCGTATCGAAATGCGAGTGATGCTCAAAATATCAACAATTGAAATTGACTTAAACAAAGGGTAATTGTCAAACCTGTGCTTCGAAATTCTTATTCGTTTTAAAAATGCACCAGCAAGCTAACTCGGTCACCCTGTATGCTTATTTTCGATGCAAAGTTTCATTGTTACTAAACATGATATGCCGTAATTTTCGTGAAATTCATCGTATTGTCAGTTTTTTAATGTATGATTAGTACTTAATTATGGTATGTGTAATATTCGGAGCCAAAATGGCATTTTATTACCCCTCTCCGATCTGCCAGCACATTCTCCATGCAGTTGTCCTAACACACCTCGATTGTCGATAGCGCACATTATTAACGGAGTTTTTTTACCCTTTCAGGCGCAACAAGATTTGAATATTCTTTTGGAACAGTTGGAGTCAAGTCGACAAAAGTGAGTATTAGTTCTTCATATTGGTCGATTCTGATCCGTTAGGCCGACTCGGCGCAATGCGCTTTCATTAGGCCCTACATTCCCCTTTGCGCATCACAAGCCTTTTTTACCGGTTTATTCCTCAAGCACTCCAGCTGGTCCTGTTCCCTTTTTTGCCACCACGCTTTTGTTTGTTTGATTCCGCCTCGTCCCCCTTCTCCGTAACACAGAAAACAACCTGTGTTTGTGTGTGTACGAGAGAGATTAAAAGTTTGCGTTAAAGGTTCTAATATTCAGTAGAATCACATTTGTTATTCGGGTCGCATTTGGTGAATTCATTCACTGAAGGTGTATCGTTTAAGTGAAGTGTGCAATGGCATTCCGAGCTTACGGTGTTATGTGACTTTTCACCTGTTAGCCGCGAGGTGGTTATTCAGCACCCAAACACCCGTGATTTATCGCTTGGTCCGGGCACTTGAAACACGAATGCTAACATGACCAATCACCTGTGCTCTATTTGGGATCACTGAGCGACCGTGCTCTCGTGGTACTCCGTAGGGCTTTTATGATCAATCTGCAAGGTACCGAAAACAAACCAACCAACAAACTGACCAAAGGGTCAGTAAGATACGCACACAATGCACAATGAGATAAAAAATATCCGCGCTATCGCTGCATATTGCACAGGCACATGGTAAAAATTCGGTCATTATCAAATCTTCACATTTAACTCATAATTACTTGTGGATACTGGTGTGTCATCCGATTCGCACTCGACTTTCCTTGGGCGTCACGAGTGTGTCTAGGCTTCGAAGTGGATTCCAGCGCGGTTTGACGGTTTCTGGTCGCTCCGTCCTCGAACATGGTATAGGTACGGGTAATTTGGAGTGTCGATCCTTCAAACTTTATCACAACCCTCGGTTCGTCCAGTGAACCATACATTTAGAACACACCAAACTGGAGTTTTGCTCTTGTTATTCCAAGTGAACATTTCCTTTACCAAGCCACTTTCGACAAACAATTGTGAGTTGAATGTGTGATAAAATCCCACCTGGTAGATTCTTCTTTCTTTGATCATTACATCCCGTTTTTGGTTTCAGTATTAGATGAAAATCTCCATTTGGCTGTTGGTGACTTCAACCATTCCCTCTACTTTCTTTTGGTTTATCTGATTTGTCTCATTCTGCTATCAGAGACAGCTCTATACTTGACCGGGTAATTACAAACCATCCCACTTTGTTTTCGCTCAAACTAATGGCCTCAGTCCCTACCAAAAATCATTGTATTCTCCTCTTAAGACCGAAGATATACTCCCGCTCCAGCATTCATACGATCAAACCAGATAAGGTTTCATCTCTGTAACTTTTCATCAACCCACATTTCTCTTCTTTGTCGTTCCATAACGATTGGTCAATCTTGTTTTGCTTCTTGTTCATCACTTCTTAACTGTCAGTCTTTTCACCGAAACGATGAAATCGATTTTCCATNATTTTCCATTTTTGCTGTCCCATGGAAACGCTATTTGTTTGCAACGCAAAAATTGCATCTCCTCGCTTGAACTCACTACAAAGGCAAAAGGAACGATCCTGTAAATCTTACCATTCATCTACTGTAAAGTACTATTCTAACTTGATTAAGGCTGAGATTACACGTTTAAACAAGACGTTCGCTTCCCAAATCCTTCAAACGATAAACAAGGTTTCCGTGGCAAGGAATTCTTCTCTGCGGACAAAAAAGAAAAGTGAANTGTAAATAGCCTTAACGCTGGATTTCTTTATCCGTCTAACGATGCCCTACCCTCTTTCCCATGTGAGGTTTTCAATTCTGATCTGTTCCCTTTTTCTAGTGATAAAATTTTTAAGCTTCTACTTCCCTTCAGACCATCGTGATCTACGGGCTCTGATGGTCTTTCTCCAGCGTTTCTCAAGTTTGGTGTAGCCCCTCTAACTAATATGATGACATCTCTCATCAATGAGTCTCTTTCTGCACAGATGATTGCCGATTCCTGGCGATCAGTGACCATAATACCTGTCCCAAAGACCTCATCCTCAACCGTTCTAGCAAAACGTTTTCGCCCCATCGCATTGACGTCTGTAGTTTTAAAGTTGATTGAGAAAGCCATCCTGAGTCGCTTGCAGTCACTTGTCACCATTCCCCATGATCCTCTTCAGTTCGCGTGTAAACCCAACAGATCCATTTTGGATGCTGTGTCCACTCTGTTCCATTTTATTAGTAAGTCATTGAACAGCTCTGCCAAATCGGTTCGTTGCGTTTTTGTCGATTATTCGTCTGCTTTTGATTATATATCCCGGTCATCCCTCTCTTTTAAACTAAAATCTTTAAACACCCCGAGACAGCTGCTTTAATGGCTTTCTGATTAATTCAGCGAAAGAACCCAATACACAAAGCTGGGCAGAATTACCTCAAGTCCTCTAGTCAATAATTCTGGTGTGCTTCAAGGTGCTGTCCTCTCTCCGTATCTTTTCTCTGCTTTCATTAGTGATCTTTCAGTTCCACACCCTGCTCATATTCAAAAGTATGCTGACGATGTCGGTTTATGTTCGGCCGTCTCTTCTTCTTCGGAATTTTCTTCCTTCACTTTAAATCTGTCCCGAATCGAACAATTTTCAAACCAGTCTGGCCTTAATCTTAACATATCCAAGTGTTTGGAGTGCATTTTTAGTTCTTCCCGCTCTACATTCCCGTCAGATTCTGTAATCCTTAATAGTAACTTTTTGTCTAGAGTAACCTCAGCCAAATATTTGGGTGTTACTATCGATAATAATCTTCGCTGGTCGACACACATTCAGAACTGTATGGGAAAACTTCGGCACCTCTCCTTTCAACTCCGTAAGCTCAAACACTTTCGCACTTTAACAAGTTTTGTTCTCTTTTGTTAAACAATGCGTTCTCCCTATTTTACTTTACTGCTCCCCTGTAGTGTTTCCCGGTCTATTGAAACAAGACTTTAAAACTGGCCGTCGTGGATTAATGAAAATAAGCCGTGTATCTTTAATTTCTGCCGAGTCATTAATCACAGAACGTAATAATGACCTAATGAAGTCTTGTATGACCTTTGCCAATAAGATTCTAAACAACCCCACTCATCCTTTGCATTTTGGCCTATCTTCCTGTCACTCCCACTCGATCACTCGTTCCCCTTATCTGTACCTACCCTCCCGAATGAACATTTATAAAGATTCCACTCTACCGTATCTGGCTCGCATCTTGACCAACAAGGAACGAGTTATAAATAAGTTACGTCAATCTTTAATTGAATGAATCAAACTTTAGAGACATCTATTTTTTTTACACAGCACTCTATTGAATTTGTTTATATTTCTGTATTGTCTCCGGTGTGACGACCAGTGTACAATTTTTGACTGAAATTTAAGCATATCACAGCTTTCAGAAGTTATACAAATACAAATACAAATTTTCGACAAGATTAACCGAACGTGAATGGATCTAACATGTAACCAGCTAGTTCCTTTCATTGCTGTTGGGCTTAATCAAGTGAAGGATAATCGCTGAAAATGATGGCTGAGCTAACTTGAATTGTTAATTCTGATCACTTCTTTTACGAGGAGGTTGGACAATGAAACCCTGAACTGCATGAGATTGGTTCGTTTTTCGAATCCCATTTGGGCAGTTGGATACATAATACTGATGAGCACTAACAGGAACGCGAGTCGAGTCTATTGTTTCCTAAACGTATGGTTGACCGCGTGAACTGAGGACAGCCCAACTCGGTTATTAGTACTAAATATATACCTTGCATTCTTGAGACTGGGCTCCAATTTTTGTAGTACCCAGCGCATCCAGTCGAGCGGGTGACCATAAACACTAAGATTTATTGAGGCAGTTCGTTTGAAATCAGGTCACATCGATGTATAAGGATGGACATTGGGTTGGGCGAGAGGAATTAGAATCATCTACGTATTGTCAAACAAAGCCTTAACCGGAGGCGTTTTTCTGAAAAGATATGCGTACTGTTTGGTTTCTGACTTAAGGTAGCTTGCTCTCTCCCTCTCTTGTCATGTACTATCACCACTACATCTGTTGTGAGATACTACTCACATTTGTGAGTAGTGTTCAACATAATGTGGCTGGTGGTTTTCTTCAACAATCAAACACTAACAAGACCGCTGAGGGCGAATTGCTGTGCCCCAAAGAATAACTACGGACTACTCCATTCATTACGTCGCTGTGCTGCTAGGACTTGTGGTTACTTGCCTCAAATGAGATATCTGTTATGTCGAATTAATGATATCCTAACTGTAATCCGCAATGAACAACTATCCTCTACCAGGCACCACCTTCTGGAATTATACTACTACTACTACACCACAGTATGTGAAAAAAAATCAGGCGAACAGGTTTTCAATACTCATCTGCTATGATGTATCACTGCGAGTTCAGTTTCGATTATTTGTATAAATCGGTTAGCAACACGTAACCACGACTGCCGCGCGAAAGCAAAGTTACAGCCGTGTTTTCATTTGGCTCGTTGGCACCTTAACTGCATTGTGATTCAATACTTCCAATCCCAAGACTCCGGGTAGACCCGCATGGCTATCAAGCATATCCTTTCCACTGTCCATGACACTCAACATTGAAATGGAACAAACGCCTAGGATGCCTAGGATCACCATATTTTTGGGATACATTCTGGTACCCAATCTCCTCGCTCTCTCTGTCTCTGTACGTGAGAGAGAGCACGTAATCACACTCAGATTGGATGACTCAGACAACGAATTCACGGTTGCCGGTGAACTTCTCCCAATTAAGTTCGAACATCTCGTGTTTGTCCGATGCTTAACACATGAATATCTAAGTTAAAAACATTTCAGTATGTTAATATATGTCCTGTTCGCTAGTTGTCGTTTTTTTCATGTTCATCTGTTTTAAAATTTTTATTTGACACACATTCAAGCGGTGATTGATATCAGCGCACGATATTTCATTTATCATTATTGTTAGTTTTCATCTCTAGACACAATTTGCCAATTCGTGTCAGTCATTTCCCCATTCTTGAAATTCCTTTGTGAACTTGTTTGTTTGTAGAATGGTTGCACTAGAAGCTAGCACTTCAATCGCACTTAAAGAACTGGAAAGCAAATCGAGCGAGCTGGAGAAAGTGCAAAAGTCCCTGAGTGAAACACTCGTGGAGGTAGGTTTTATACAATCTTATTACAGCCTTACTCATTCTTTTCCTCCTGTCCGCCTCCTTGTTTCACGGGCAGGCTCCCCTCCCTCCGCGCGCCATTGCGTTGTTTTGCCTTCTCGTTACGTTTAAAATACGCTTGGTATATCATTTTTTCTAGTTTTCAGAAACCTGTAATTTAGCGCATATTCCGTTCGTGCATCCATGTTCAGCGAAAAGGATTTCTGCACACTATAAATATTGGTATTGTTTGCTTATGTTTCCATCGGCTATCCCTTTAATTTAGAATGCTCTTCTTCGGATTCAACCGTGTTATCCGGTGAACGTTCAAATTTCCTCGGGTTCCTATTACCGTTGCACTGATTGTCACTAACTACCCCGTTTGATGATGCTTTATATATGTATACAGTGGATTCCTTCTTTTGACAGCAGTGCGTTTTTCATTAAAAAGTTAATAATAATGATAATACGTAACCAGTGTTTCTTATCTCAAATCCCCAGTCGATCTCCAAGTTTGATAGACATTGGGAGTGCCTACAATAGACTCTGATCACTTGTGGTTCAGTCCACCACAGCCATATCAGTTCAATCTCCGCAGCATCCTTGGCGTTGCTAAATGGTCTTCAAATGAATTCAGCTGATTGGAGAAACATCAAAATCTCAGAAACTGTTTACGTTTAAAGGCGTGCTGACCATGAGGCTTGATGGTCAGGATGCGCGGTTGAGAGGAGAGTGGCTGTTGCCCTTGGAACTATAGATAATTCTTTCTACTCCTCTGTACTACAGAAACGTTCTAAATGCGAGAATCGAAAAGGCCGGTGCAACACCGATCATAAACTTGCTACGTTGAATATACCTCAGGGCGAAATATTTTCAAGTACAGTTTAATTGGCCACTTGCTGATACCGCTGTGCAAAGTTTTTCTGCTTCCTCCAATTGGCTTATGCCAGATTTCCCCTGACTACTGGAGTTCCGAAAGGAGCTTCAAGTTCTCGCGCGCCACCGAACACGCGGATCAGCCCTTGTTCTTGAATGAATGTTCAGACTGTTCCGCAAAGTTTAACCAAGCGATATGTTCTCGCGGTTTGCGGTAGGTCGCTGGTTGTCCTTGTCTTTAAAAATCCAAATGTTGAAGGCTTATCTTGATCCCAATCTCATCATTGCTCCTAGTGTTCATCATAATCCATGGGCTTCTTCCTATATGCGAACTCCCGTGTGAAGAACAATATGCTGGGTTTCTTTCGGACCACAGTTGTACAGATCAAATCTCACCCCTCCGTCTGCGACTTTATTACCGCCATGTGTACCGAGAACTATCCATAGTCGTACTTCGGGATACCGGGTCCGTTTTCTGGGGAACAGTCTGCCTGAGACGTGCGTTTCGTCATTGATGACATACTTCAGATGACTTTGTGGGACCGCACAACTAAATGTCACAGTTGGCGACCTGGATTATATTGACCACATCGATTTCCTGCGAGACGACCCCCAGATCATTCAAGACGTTTTAAGCCGCTTGGCTAGTGAACTCATTGAATATGATGTGTAATTCGCTCCATCCAAGTTCAAGAGCCTCCTATAAGACCGGCAGCTTGCTCCGATCCGCACCTGTTGTGGATAAAGTTTGGAGACAATCCAAAGTTTGTTTACTTGAGAGATTTTATTTTTTTTCTGGTGGAGGTATCACTACGCGTTTCAAATACCCGTTTAGCACTCTCCAATCTAAGGAGCCTGTTGCGTCGCCTTTCAGACTGTCTCTAGGACGCATAGTCTTAAAAGCTATCAGTAATATTATATGGTTGCGAAACTTGACCGTAAACAGTCTTTGTCAGTAGTGACGTTCGTACGTCTACTCACCATCATCCTACAGAGAAGTACAAAGAAGATATAGTTGATACAACCGCGGTCCGGTCTGAATCCTGCTTATTGTTCGCGAATAATCGTCGGTCTTAAGGAAGCCAATCGCCGAATTTTCACTTGAGCTGACACTTTGGTGATGGCAAGAATAAGACATCCCATGATGGTTTGCACGGTCGTTGCGCTATTTCGTCTTGAAAATGGGGACAACCCATGATCCCTGGGTGAACTGACACGTTCTCCCCATCACGCTCCCCATCATCATTATCATCGTAAAGCGAGACACAGTGAAGCGAACTTCACTGATCTCTGCCAACGCTCCCTATCAAGCTTGACTGACCCCTTTCTTAAGTGTTTGAATACATCATACATCTGATTATTAGGAAGATTGATGTTACCACGCACAGAGTTTCGCCTGCAACTGTCGGAATAATCGTGCTACCACGAGATCAGGTGAACTGTTCGCGAAAACACCCCACTGCTGCTGCTGCTTCTTATTATTGTTGATTTCCTGTCCACTTTAATCTTAAATGATTTTGTTGTACGGTGTGGGACAACCCCCGTAAAATGGTTTGTGACTACTTAGATGCGTCAGCTACTTTCATTGCCCTATCTACACTGGCCTATCGGATTTGATGATCTTTCTGAAGACTTATCCTGAGTTGGAGTTGCGATGCCTCCTGTTTTCCATCATGACCCCTGAATCCTGAGGGCTTTTATGACTCGGACGGATGTGTGAACAGTAATCCGCTTATCACTACCTACCGCTCTCAGTGCAATGGGTAGCGCGGTACTGATTATCCTACTCGATGACGGGTGCAATATGAATTTCATAGTTTATATATTCGTTGAAGTTTGATTGTCGGGTACCATTGGGGAATCCAACTCCTAAGTAGAAGTATTTGGATTATCGAATAAAGCCTTCATTTCCAAGAAAAAATTTAGTAGCAAGGCACTAGGTGAAGCGAAGTGAAGGCCCGTCTAATTGTATTGATTATTGCTCCATCATTTTGTCGATTGAACCCCCACCCTTGCGAACCAGGATACAGGACTTTGCTAGACCTCTACCTCCTGGACATGGTAAGATCTGTTGACTTGAAAAGAGCTAGCCAATCGTGCCCGTTTTGTTACGGAAGTGCACGAGACATAACATCACGTCAGAATGCAGTCTCATCATGTAACAGTGAACTTTTCATCTTAAAATTCGTACTATTTTCCACTCTTCTCTGAACTCCGTCCCTCAAACGGTTAACCTAAAGTCAACAACTGAAACCGCCTCAAGTCGCATGTTATTCCCGATTAGCCTCCAACTGAAGCAGCCTCGTGTTTGCGACCGGAGAACACTCCCTGTAGTACGCAGTTACGCCTACTCTTTAGTCCCTACGTAGCCAGGGTCTGTAGAATACTAGTACCGTATTGATAATTATTAATTATTGCATTTTCGCTAGTTCCAAATGGTGATATTTATTTCCCCTTTCTGAACAGCGTGATCAATTGCAACAAGCACATCAACAAACCATGGCCATGCTTGAAAGCGAACGCCGTCAACTTCAGGAGCGAATTCGTGCAGCCGAATCTGGAGCCGCAGGTAACTAGCCACTACGTATGTCTGTTTGAACTATTTCACAACTACGTCCGAAAGGAATAACATTCAGCCTCGCTGGTTTCATCCTTGACAAACGGTCCGTCCTCAACGCTCGGCTTGAAGTATCGTCGCTTACTAATCGTTCCGTCATAAATAATCTTCGTGTTTTTTTTTATATAGAAGATTAATCACTATTTGTGAACAATAGTTTCCCCCATTTCCGAATGTGAATTCAATCCTTTTCAGAGGAAATTGTTAAAACTCGCAGCACTGTGTTTTGAGTCCGGTCAGTTATTTTTCGACGAGATCATTTAGGCTCCAAGGGGCTAGGTTGTAACAAGTAACCGTCCCCAGCGCGCATTATCTTTCTATCGGCTTTCTGACCCAAATACGACTTCTCCCAAACAACGAAATGTATCATATTGATCTTAAACAACAATAGCACCGGTAAATTTTGTCTATGTATATGGAGGTGGCGGTATGGGAAGCCAAAATGATAGACTAAAAGACCCGTTATCCGTTTTGTAAAGATCATGATGCATCATTTTGAGAATCAGATTGCAGTAGTGGTGGACGACGAAGAAACTCTGAGAAAATCAACTAACTTCTCCCGACTGGATAAGTTACTGGGACGGGTGCTGTGTGCTGCTGAACAATGGTCTGCTCTCTGAGACGTTCAGGTTGAGAAGATGGACCCTACATGTAATAACGCCAGGCCAAAACACTCGTCGTTTGTTGAGCAGTATGCATTGCACCGATGAATCGTCCCTGGCCTGCTCGTCGGCTCCCAATCTGATCGCAAACACGTGTGACACCATGGACGGCAGAATAACGACGAAGTCTGTTGCAAGTGTGTAGAACAACATTTGAACAAAGAATGGGAAGCAGTGTTACAAGAGGGCATCCAGAAATTCATCATTAGCATGACTTGACCAGTCGGGAAGTTTGTCAAACCTCGAGCAACAGATGGCTTGTTTTTCCTGAGCGGGCACAGCGAATTTTCAGTGACTGCCTTTGTTTGAAAGTTCATTGAGTATGACGTCGAATTTGAGCTTTGGGGGGAATTCTTCTTGTCAATGTGTTTAGGTCGTGATTGTTTTATTCCCTTTATCTATACTTGTCTTTTGTCTCACCGGTCCAGAACCATACCGAATGTACTTTGACGATTACGATATCCGTGGAATTCAACTGAGTGCACTTGACATCAAGTCATCTCTCTGCTTTTTCGGGACAGATCGTTTTATCTCTAACTGTTTGATGAATGACTCCGGTGGGTTGGTAGAAATGAATTTCATTCATCTCCGATGCATTCTTAAATTACCTTACTGAATGATTTTGAACAGTTCACCATCTGGATGTATGTGTGTGGTTATCTATTCATCTTCACACGTCGCAGTTTAGACAGTACCAAACAATTCGCGGTACAATTATCTTTATAAAAAAGGTCCATGATTTGCTCAAGGGCGCGATTCTTCCTGGTTGCCCAGGCCAAAACAGATGAATTTTCTTAGGGGGTTCACAACCGGAGCCTTCGGTTAGCCAAAGCATCACCCACAAGGCAGCGAGTCGGTGCTTGAAAACCGCAATCGATTGAGAGCCGGTATGCAGTTTATCGGATCGTAGGCCCATTGGACGGGGTCAAATGTCCAAAATGCCCAATCGATCCGGTGACTACTACCACGACCAGGAAGATGAGTGTGTGTTTCATACGCCTCTTCTTGGTTGCTTTGGAATCATAGCTTTTATCCAACTCTCTTAGGTAAACTGGTTTGCTGACCCGGTTATAGCTCCGGATGTTTTTTCGTCCTCTCATATCGGTGGGAAAACACCTCCGCCACGGAAAGCCAGTGAATGTGGCTTCCTCAGCGAAAGCTATCTGAGATCCGTTGTCGCATGGCAGCATTTCATGAGGAGCCAAGGAGGGGTGACCAGCCGCAACCTTAGACACCCACTCCCGATCACAATGAGGTTTTCGGAGGCGTATGCATATGGACAATTTTTTATATCAGCTTTTGGGTCTCTTTTGCTGGTCCTTTGCATGATGTTCTTCTGCACCGATCATTCAATAATCCAAAGGGTTCGTGGATGTGTTTCAATTATTTGAGCCTTGTGTCTTTGCTTTAATTGTATATGGACACAAGGGAAATGACATACATTGTTTACAATATTCTGTATTCCGATCACTTCCCTCACTACGATTTAGGTTTCGTTTGTTATACAAATTCGCACCCGGTTTCTACAATCCTCTTTTGACTACTCATAGTTCTCCCCCAGTAGGTTTCATAGGCCCAAATATGACGTCGCCATTGTGTTTTTCTGGTTGTTAAAGCGGACGCAGTTTCGGCGCGGCGTGTTGCTGATTGCATGGTTCCTGACGTTATCTACCTTCAGATGACGCAAGAGTTTATCTGGTGCTTCGTATCTATAGTACTTCTCTTAGATTCTTTCGGTGGGCTCCATTTCTGTTCTCCCTGACCTATATTGGGTTTTCTTTGCTTGCCGCTCACCGCAATCATAAAGTTAGTCTGTGTGACATATGCTCTTCGAAAATGACTTTGCATCACATTATTGCTCTCTGGCACCGTTCTTTTCCAACGAATGCATGTTCTGAATCAAATGTGTGATTGAAGATAGATAACTTGTCAGACAAAGTAACCAAAATAAATGTTCCAAATCTGCAACATCTATTTTAATGCTAAATGTGGCATATTTTTAGCTACTCGTCATACCCCTCATTCCGTCCTAATTTTCATCGTCCTAACGCATAGTTGTCTAAATGAAAAAAACTCGCGCATGACCCCAGAGATTCTACGCTTTCTGTGATTCCAGTCATTTGCAGCAGAAGTTTACTCAGTTTTGCGTTCGAAAATACAAATTTCCTTCTGTCTATCTGCGTTCCCCGTGAGCCCCTCGACCAATCTGCCTTCACAACTCGGGAATCATTGTTGTTTTGCGGGTGCGCTTAACGAAGCTGCCGTTTGTGGGATCTCAAGCATTTAGATTTTTCTCGAATATCGATAGTACTATTGATCGGGATTATGTTGATACAAAAACATTTGGACCAAATTTGTCCAACACAATCTACCTGTTTTGACACCATTTCTCGTCCTATTGTTGCTATCAGGCCTGCGGCAAGCTTGCGTGACCTGGGCTTGATACCGTTTGTCCAAAAATGGTTTCCAATGCACTGTTTCCTCCGGGACGACATCTTATCTACTTATCTATTCACCCATATTTATCTTAGTGTGATTTTCTGGTATCATAATACTCTGACGGTTGATTGTCGTTTGTCATGGATACCGGATGGCGACACGAATCGCGCGTTTCTAACCTGGGTTCGACGTCCCGTGTACTTTTCTTTCTTTATACTCAGTCTAGTGCGATTGTTGTTCATCCGTCTCTCGCCTAATTGATTTTTCGCTCCAAGTGTGAAAATCCCTTCTGGTGTGTGTGTGTGTGTGTGTGTGTGTGTGTGCACCCACCCAATTCTTATGATACGCCACGGTCATCGATTCCCTCTAATGCCCACATGTTAAAATGTGATCTATCGCACGCCGGGTCATTGGTGCGCATTGTCATATTCAAAACGAAATAATTTTTTCCGTCATGTGGCATAATATTAATTATGCAGAAAAGTTGAACTCATTCGATAATAATAATAATAATTAGTTCACTAAACTCCGGGACTTGGAGCGAGGGTTTTCGTGAAAGCCCTAGTAATAGTTTGTCGGCTGAAAGCTTGGCTGTTCAGTTGATGAGCGCTTGTCTTGATATGTTGAGTGTTTCGGGCTTAGTTAACTCGATTTTTTTGGCGTATACCGTTGAGTTTCGTGCCTAGCCCTATGCATTAGACTATAATACACCATCGATTCAATGTCATATCTGTGGTTACATTTTTTCGGGTATATCAGCAACATTGATTTTCACTGTGCGCAACACTTCAGCGGAGTTCTGTTAAGGTGATGTACCATTGGGGTTTAACTGCTCATGTGCCCAGTTTTTTCTATACTAGCCATTGTGAGATAAACAGTAGAAGGGGAGAATCCCATCATCATGAAGGTCCACAGAGGTAACCTGAACCGTGCTATCTGGTTTTAGGACTGGCATGTGGTCCGAGCCAGAATTGTGATAAGAGTATGCTCAAATGTGCAGCAGTTTCTCTCATAATCGCATTGGAAACTGGTCCACAGTGTCTGTGATTCCCCCCGCGTTTGATGTACAGTCTTCTCAGTGAAAATCAACCTGGTCACCCTGTGAGATTTCCGGGATCATGGATTACTCATCATGTTACAAATGTTATCTTGCAAGTATTTGTTCCTCCTCCTCCCCCCTCCCGTTCCTAAGTTAGAATACTCTACACGCGGTAATTATTGATCACGATGAGATCGTGACTCAGAACTTACTCTTTGGCTAAACACGTAAAATCAATAGGATCTTAGGGGGTCTATTGTCTATGGAAGAGGCCTATAACGATGTCACTGTTGCTGTGTACTTCTACAGATAACACTTTTGTATCTTAATATAGTCGTTTTTCTGGACGCCAAATGTAATTTGCTACCGAGTAATATTATAACCGATAACTGCGATGCTCTATCCAAAGCCTTCGCTTACTATTGATCACTGTGACAGTGAACCTTGTTC